CAGTGATCAATATGATTCTTAGGCTGGAGTTACTAACTTGTCAACATCAATGCCATTTCGACCATTTGCCACAATATCATACAGAAAACGCTTTTCCTTTGAGCTCTAGAGATTAGACACAAATCATAGATACAATCTGAACATGTAATCTAAACAATAAAGCTGGCACAATTGTCAGTACAATAGAACTCATCAAAATTGTACAAATAAGACTTACTTTGATCATAGCATATTTTGAACTTGCAAGTATCATTTCCTGTCAACATAAGAGCTTCGGGTCAAAAGGAATAAACTCAACACCCAATAAATTTGCACATTATAAGTATCAAGCATCAACAAGTAAACAAAACCATAAAGCAAAACCGAAATCAACTAAAAAATGCCATCAACTAACCTTGACTCTGCTCATGGTATCATTATCAATATCAATGTGATGTTCATCGACAATGTGATCCACCATCTCTACTGACATTTGCTCATGAGACCTACATCCACATTTACCACAGTTTAATTGCTATATGAATTTGACAGCACAAATGGTAAAGAGAACCAGATACTACAATATGAACAAAAGAAATCAGAAACTCGTAGGGTTATTGTACGTGATAATTGGCCAAAGAGTTGCAGCAGAAAAAAACTAGGACTATCGGATATAAAACTGTCATAGCAAAGGTTCTGAAGTTGTTTATTCTGTCTTTAATTAAGCTAATCACCGAACTCATGGTAAAGGGGGAACTTTCTAAGCACAGTTTCGCGAATTCTATTCACATTAATGAACCAGATGAGTGTATCCAGGAACACTCACCTTGCGGGATTTTTTGGAGTAATTATAAAAAACAAAAGGAAACAGGAAAGCAGCCAGGTTAATATGAATGAGTATCACTCTTGTACACAGGCCTGAATATGTCATGTGTTAGTAACCCTCACGAACTCGCAAAACAAAAGATGAAGTTTTTTACTAAAACAAAAAAAAAAAGAAAGAAACTGTCGACACTTGAATCATTGCATCCAATAAATACGCAGTCAGCTCAGCTTATTACCATTCAGGTGAATTGAGAACCTTGGGAAGAAACTCACGCTCAAACAAATGACTATAAGGCCCATGACCTATGTCATGCAGAAGCCCTGTCAACAGCGTAGTAGACGGTCAATGTTCATAAGTGTGCAAATAGAATTCTTAAATGCAAAAGTTTTTAAGGGTTTTCTTTTCATCCATAGGACCTGCAAGTTTCACAGTTTGCATATCAAACTGATCGATACCAAGCTCCAACCCCTGCAAAACGCACTTGCATTTTAAAACAAACGCACTTGCATTTTAAAACAAAACGCCGTGTATCTTAACATTTTACTAGTGAATGCACATATTCATGCAGATTTCTTACTTGTTGGACTTTAAGCCTATGAACCACTTCACCAGCCAGCCAGTAAACTCCAAGAGAATGCTCAAATCTAGTATGTACAGCTCCTGGATACACCATGTGGGCCATCCCTGAAAAACAAAGTAAGTGCATCACTATAGGTTGCTCCAGTGCCATTCTGCTAAAACAAATGCTAAACAAACTGAAATTCTGAGGCAACCAAGGATGCTTGCAAGTAGCAAGACAAAGGTCCAACCCAAATACAAGTAACAAAAGATATGTAGAAGCGAGAATAAGATATGCATGTAAACTTATCTGGTGTAAAATTTAAAATATCAGAAAATGTTCGCCTAATGCAGAGAAATTAAAATTTAAAACAACAAACAAATTCCTGATATTAATTAGGACCAATGAAATGCATGATACATCATTAGGAAATTCCAGCCTCCAGTAATGTATAGGAATTTCTCCATTTACAGTATAGAGGTCTCTAAATCACAAATTACTAACATATTCCTATAGAAATGTTTCAACAATGAATCATGTCAATTCTTGGAAAGGACTAGTAAGAATAAAAAGAGCGAAATTAGCACTTACCTAGTTGCTTAAGATCACGCAGCCTGTCATGATAAATGGATACAATATTAGAAACTGAATCATCACATAAACACCGATAGGTGATGCACGAAGCACCAATTTAAGACAAAAGAGTGAAATTGGAGTACTAGAAGATGCCGATGGCAACGTGATGTTTACCTCTGAAACTGCTCGGTGTCAATGAATTTCAAGACTAGCTGCAAAATAAAAAAACAGAAATTCAAAAATTGCTTATCAGCACAATATATTGGATGCATTTTTTTCAAGTAGTGATGGATGAAAACGACCTACATATGAAAATAAAATTTCGAAGATACACGTGGAGGAACATTCAAAATTCCAGCAACCAGGAACCAAATATAGACAACAAACAAGAGCATCCGAATTTCAGCAAAGCACAAATAAAACAGAACAATTAGAAACAAAAATAGGAAAAAAAAATTACACTTAAAATCGAAATAACCACCGAAAACACCAAAACATAAACAACAACACTAATCCATAGCAAACAGATAGCGAGAGATAGCACGAACAAGCAAACGAAAACACATAACACAGAGCAAAACACACAGAGAGACAGACATAAACGACAGCGTTACCGGATCGAGATAGATGCTGCTATGGACATTGTCATGGACGTGCTTGGAGAGTCGCAGATCTTGAGAGCTCGCGAAACTGTAATTTGATGAAAACGGCAACTCCTCGTTGCAAAATGCTCCCATAATCGCTGCTTCGTTCCCCTAAAGGCTAAAGCTATAAATTATAAGAAAAAAAGTGCAATTCCACAATAATCTGATAGGCTTTAAATATAGAATATATGACACAGACGAAAAATTAATGCCGAGCGGGTGTGTTAGCCTGTTAGGTAACTGTAGCTGTAGGCATTGCAATTAGGAAACGTAGAATGGTCGGAAGGAATGTGGAGATGTGGTGGCGCTGCACTCTGCCGCCAAAACACAAAAGGTTTTTCCTGCACGCCCTTATTTTTAAGCTTTTTTTATTAGTTGCTAATTCTGAAAAAA